CATTTTATTCAAATTTTGTTATAAATCTCGACTTTTTTTTTTAAGCTTTCTAAATCTCAACACTTTTGTGTTTTACTGTTTTAAATTTCTATAACATCACTCGCAGGAGGATCTAAAATGCCGAAAAAAGTACATAAATTTATAATAAAACTCAAGCAAAATGCATGCACCCAAAGATATGTTTTCTCTTTAAAAAAAAAATGTAAACTGTACAGATCAAACATGAGCTATCCCCTTATGAGGAAGAACATGGAGATTTGAGGAGAATCTGGATGGCAAAGTTTGGCCATCAGCTTATCATAGATGGACTCCAAATAACTATTTGGACCTTTCCTGAAACAAAGTTCAACTGGCCCAATCTACTCAGAGGCTTGTACTTGAAACCAGATACCATGGACTGGCCTTGTTGCAAGGACCCACACAAGGCCTTCCCTGACATTCATTTCTTTCAATTTGACAAGGCATGCATGTGACTAAGAAAGGGTTTAAAAATATCAGTAAGAAAAAGATGTGAATGTGATGGATCCTAGACCAGCGCTGCCTCTTGGCTTATCAAGAGCCGCTTAACAGAACAGAAAAGGAAATCCACTTATAGGTAACTTAAAGAACCATGCGCAAGCTGAAGGAACTAATAAAAATGTTACTTTTTCTTGTCTCTGTTCCTTTGGGTGTGGTATCAAATGCTCAAATATACTGTCATCGGAACAAATATCAAACCGTAGCACAGTGATCCAAACAAGTAAAACCGTTCCCCGAGACATTACCAAAACAAATAAAAGGGGGTCCTAAAGACAGAATCTCCCCAGTAAACTATCTCTCATAGCAATTTTCTGCCGCCAAATACATCCCTAGTCAAGAGCTAGCGATGCAGGAAAGAAACATTCACACGGTCATCCACCTATTTCTAAACAGAAAAGCTCAATTGACAGATTTATTAACTCTCAAGTAAAACAAATTCCGGTCAATGTGCTTATTTCAACACAAAGAATGCAGTAGAGGAAGCCTCAACTTAAGGGATGAAAGGAAGACTTAAACCGTTTGATAGGTAGAAAAGAGCCTTCTAGTTTCTAGAAAGGAAATGGAAAATGCATCTATCCCATTTCCTTTCTAGATACATTTATCTTTTCCTTTCTAGAAAACATTTTTTCATGCATCAAACATGAAATAAAAGTCAAAATAATTCTGATAAGGAAAGATGCCCCTTCAAGCAACTTGTATTTTTACAAAGAGTTAGTTTGATAGCATAAGATGTAGCTTAGTTATGATTTGTAAACTAACAATATTTTACTCAAACAGGAGGGCACCTTTACCTTTACTGTAAATATAAAAAATTTATGTGCTTCCCATCTCTGAAAGCTAATACCTTCTTTCAACCTAAGCTCATAAGTTGAGTGCCTGGTTCGTTGCTGGCCTTGCCAAATTTACGAAATTAATTGATGCACAATGCAAAATGTCATAATTATGTAAACACATCCCAACTTGAAGAAGAATGATCTTCTATGCTAAGCCATCAGAATCAACATTCTATCAGGAACCATCAAATATCAGTAACTTATAAGCCTGTCCTGTTGTCGCCTTATCAGGTATACTAATGCAATATTCTACAATCAGAATAATAGACCACTTCACAAGCAATTCCCTTAAATTTATGAATCTCAATGATATGCGCAACTCTGCCTATGTTTATAGCCGGTCCCAAGCCCGGGTAAAGGAGGAGGGTTGTGTTAGGCCATCAACAGCCAATGTAAAAATTTGTTGAGTCTATTATGAACATGGACAATAAATGTTATAATGTTAATGCTAGGTCGTTGCCCGTAAGTAACGCGCTGCATGGCTCGAGTACAGTGATAAGTGAGTTAGAGCCGCTGCATCGGCGCCCGGATGTAGTGTTAAATGAGCAAGGGCTACCGCGTCATTCTGGACGCACGCGGCTAAAGAAGTTAGTCCATAAGAGCAAAATTAGATTTGGTACTGGGAATGTTGGGACATTAAATTGTAAATCTATAGAGGTTGTAGGGGTTATGATTCAAAAGAAAATCAATATCCTTTGCTTGCAAGAAACAAAATGGCGTGGAGAAGGAGATAAGGATATTCAAGGTTTCAAACTTTGGTATACAGGAAAAGTAAGTGCGCGCAATGGAGTAGGCATCATTATAGATAAGGAGTGGAAGAAGAACGTTGTAGAAGTTAGCAGAATTGGAGACAGAATTATTTCTTTAAAAATGATAATTGGACGTGAGACTGTTAATATTATTAGCGCTTATGCGCCGCAAGTCGGGACAGAAGCCAGTCTTAAGGAATTATTTTGGGAGGATCTGGAGGGGTTGATTCGACACATACCACAGAGTGAAAAGATTTTTATTGGAGGAGACTTTAATGGGCATGTCGGGAGGGAAGCTGGTCAGTATGCAAGGGTGCATGGTGGTTTTGGTTTTGGAGAGCTAAACAATGAAGGGCAAACTCTTCTTGATTTCTCATTGGCGTATGATTTTAAGATTGCCAACACTTGTTTCAAGAAGAGAGATGAGCATCTCATCACTTACAAAAGTAGAGCCTCAAGGTCGCAGATTGATTTTCTTTTGGTTAGGAACACAGATAGAAAACTTTGTAAAAATTGTAAGGTGATCCCTGGAGATGCTGTAACGACACAACATAGGGTCCTAGTCCTTGATGTGTGTATTATGAGTAAAATCCAAAAACGTCGACAAGTAGTAACATCAAGGATTAGGTGGTGGCAATTAAAAGGTGAGAAGCAAGATATTTTCAAGCGAAATCTTTTGGATAAAGGAATTTGGAATTCTCAGGGAAGTGCTAACATCATATGGGAGGATATGGCTAAAAAGATACGGGAGGTTGCAAAAGTAGTTTTGGGAGAATCGAAAGGTTCTGGTCCGAGAGATAAGGAGTCTTGGTGGTGGAATAATAGTGTACAGGACAAAATCAAGTATAAGAAGAACTGTTTTAAAGCCATACATTTGTGTAACAATGAGGAAAATTGGGAGAGGTACCGTATGGCTAAGAAGGAAACTAAGAGAGCTGTGGTGAAGCTCGTTCCAAAGCCTTTGAAGAATTTTATAAGAACCTTGAGACGAACGAAGGAGAGCAAAATATTTATAAGATTGCCAAGAGTAGGGAAAGAAAATCAAGAGATCTAGAACAGATAAGGTGTATTAAGGATGAAGAGGGAAGAATTTTAGTTACAGATGATGAAATTAAAAATAGATGGGAGACTTATTTTTCTAAACTTTTCAATGATGGAGAGGATTCATCTAGTAACTTGGAGGATTTGGTAACTGGTGGAGGAGAACAAAATTTGTCATTCTATCGAAAAATACGTGATAAGGAGGTAAAGGAAGCTCTTAAGAAAATGGCAAATGGTAGAGCTAACGGACCTGATTGTATATCTATCGAAGCGTGGAAATGTTTAGGTGAAGAAGGGGTGAGATGGTTAACTAAGTTATTTAATGTGATTTTACGGTCCAAGAAAATGCCTGATGAGTGGAGGAGAAGTACATTAATTCCTATTTATAAAAATAAAGGAGATATTCAGAATTGTACTAACTATAGAGGGATTAAACTCATGAGCCACACAATGAAATTGTGGGAGAAAGTAATTGAGCACAAGTTGAGATTGGAGACAAGTATTTCTGAGAATCAATTTGGTTTTATGCCAAGTAGATCAACTACAGAGGCGATTTATCTACTAAGGGGATTAATGGAAAAGTATCGTTGTAAAGATAAAGATCTACACATGGTTTTTATTGATTTGGAAAAAGCTTATGACCGTATACCAAGAGAAGTGCTTTGGAAAGCGTTAGAAAAAAAGGGAGTACGGATTGCTTATATTAAAGCCATACAAGATATGTATGAGGGGGTAAAAACTAGTATAAGAACGCTAGTGGTCAAACAAAGGATTTTCCTATAAAGATTGGACTACATCAGGGATCATCTCTGAGTCCTTATTTGTTCAACTTGATTTTAAATGTTTTGACGGAACATATTCAAGAGGAAATCCCGAAATGTATGCTCTTCGCGGATGATATAGTTCTTATAGCAGAGACAAGAGAAGAGTTAATTGCAAACTTGAGTTATGGAGGAGGACATTGGAGTCGAAAGGTTTTCGTCTGAGTAGAAGTAAGACGGAATATTTATATTGTAAATTTAGTAAAGGACTATTCGAAAATAATTTGGAAGTGAAATTGGGAGATCAAATTATACCTCAAGTGGAAAAGTTTAGATATTTGGGAGCCATTATTCAAAATGATGGCGAAATCAGTGGAGATATTTCACATAGAATTCAAGCTGGGTGGTTTAATTGGAGAAAAGCTAAAGGAGTTATTTGTGACCGCAAGGTGCCTAATAAACTTAAAGGAAAGTTTTATCGTACTGCTATCAGACCGGCAATGTTATATAGTAGTGAATGCTGGGCTCTAACGGGACAGCAAGAGCATAAAGTTGGAGTAGCAGAGATGAGAATGTTATGATGGATGTGCGGACATACACGTAAAGATAAAATTCGAAATGAGCACATACGTGAAAAAGTGAGGGTGGCACCTATTGAGGAAAAAATGGTAGAAAATCGGTTGAGATGGTTTGGGCATGTACAAAGAAGACCAAGGGAGGCACCAGTGAGAAGAGTGGAACATATAACTTTGAGTCCGATTAAGAGAGGTAGAGGAAGGTCTAAGAGAACACTCTTGGAAGTTGTTGAATGCGATCTCTTAATTAATAATATTCCTAAAAGCTTGATAAATGATAGAGCACAATGGCGTCTTGCAATCCATGTAGCCGACCCCACCTAGTGGGATAAAGGCTTGTTGTTGTTGTTGTTGTTGTAATGATATGCGCACAAAGTGTGCACGAGCACAAAGTTGATCATATAAATATTAACACCCTGGGCTTCTATTAAGTAATATATATCATAACAGCAAAGGGCTCTCGTATTAAAATCTCATGATCTTCAATGTATTGTGAAGTAATACATACATTCATCTAATGAATTGAAGAAACGGAAGAGATATAAATTTTATGCTGTACCCAAATTTAAATCCATTTTGATTGTTTACTACAAGATGATTCCATAAGTGTCATCCTAAAAGCTAGACAATATCTGGCTGAAAAATATGCATTAAACCAATAGCATTTTGCAACAAAAGCACTATTACCAAGTGCAACGTAGTGGTATGATCTAAAACTTCTGCCTCAACAATCGCTCAAAATTGATAAGTAGAATTAAATTGAAATCAAATCTCAATTAAGATAACCTCCTCAAATTGGCACGTAACGTTTCAACGCTTGCTTGGCTGTTAAGGCCACACCAACCAGGACTCCGCCTGCTGCTCCGGCAACCGCGGCTGATCTCACGCCTCTAGCAGCACGATACAAGGCACCAGTACCGAGCCCCGCAACCACACTATTCCACACATCATCAGTGTCCCTCACAGCTACTGTCCCGCTCTCAATACCGGCGTAAAGCAACCCAATAACACCAACTCGATTACCCCAAGACCGACCCGAATGGCCAGAAGCGTTTAGGACCCGGTTTATCCGGAGCTTAGTGGTGTCGCCAGATTCAAAAGATTTCACACCATTGACGAGGCCAACGCCGGCACCCCCAACGGCGCCCGCAAGGTAGCCGCAGCCAGTGTAAAAGGTGAGATTTTCACCCCAGGACCGACGTTTGCGGCGAGCCTCCTCGACGAAGAGATACTCAGGGGAGGTCGGAAGTTGGTATAGGTTTCGAATGGGGACTTCGAGGTCCTTGTAAGGATTATAGAGGCGCGTTGGGGTTGGCGGGTCGGATCCTGATTCTCGATCACGGGAGGGGTATGCCATTGGATGAGCTTCCAGGCGATTAGGGTTAGGATTGGGTGCGATGGAGAGAGAAAGAAGGAGCGAGCAGCTGAACAGGGACGAAGAAGGCAGCCGTATGGGTTTGCGGGAAAATATCGGGCTGGTAGGGCGGCGTGCAGGGAGCCGGTCCGTTTGAGATTCGCATTGTCGAAGAAAATCAGACCGGGTTCGGTTCCGGTTCATTTTGACAGGTGTGTGAAATTAATTGGCTGCAGTGTCCGAACGTCAGCGGTCAACACTCTGCCCTCACCTATTTTTGCATTATGTTTTGTTGTTCTTTTAATCTAAATAAATTTGGACGAGTTTATTGACTTTTAGAGTCAGCGTATATGATATCTCCATAACTTTTTCACGCAGGGCCTAAACAGTGGCTATCTAGAGATAACATTAAGGAGGCATCTTAAGTGGAATCTATTAGACATGTTTTAATCATTTCCTCTGTTGTATGGGATGTGCGAGATGAAGTGACGTGCGGTGGGAGGGTACCACACCCATTGACCTTGTGTTCTACGAGTGCAACTTTCTTACACACTGCATCCTTAGCCAGGGCTTTTACTACAATTATCAGGTGTGAGCGTAAACGAACACAAGTTGAGGGGAGGTTTACTATTTGTGTATGCCAGGTTATTCCTGAAGTGTATAGAACAGGTTACTCAGTGTATAAAATCTCAGCTTGCATTGGAAGCATCAAGACAGAAGATAACTGAGCATCTAATTAAATATAGTTGTTCTGAGATATTCATATTAGCAAAATATAATTAGTTACTTTTGCTTTTCATTTCTCTTCTTGACTTGTTCAGAGATTCAAAAACTAGAAATTATAATATTACCTGAAATCTTGTCCTTACAGTGCACTCTTTAGATTGGATAAACTCATGAAGCTCGTGTACTTTTGAATTTGGCAGATCTCATTCAGAAATTTTATTTAAGAGTTGTAAGTGGAGATATTAGTAATTATTTGTAAAACCGGGAATAAAATGTCAATTAAGGCAAAACACAGGATTTTTTTTTTTTTGTTCTGGCCAACAGCTAAAGATAAGAATTCTAAAATTTAATTGCTTTTACCTTTTTTTTTTTGCTTTTATTTCATTCCAATCACTTTATTTTACTCTATTTTGTTATTTTAATTACCTTTTGTTTTACTCAGGTTTTCTTTCATTTTATTGTATTTAATTTTATTTTATCATCATATGCCTTTGGTCTCTGTAAACCTTAGGTAAAGCAAAAGCATTCACTTATCGCACCAGAATTACTGAATTAGCTTAACTTCGGAACAACTATTGAATAAAAGCACATATTCTCCCTTGGCCTTCAAGCCTCCTCTCCCCCTTTCTATTCCTTCTTTTCCCTTTACTATCATTTCTACTAATTCTATACCCGACTTGCTTGTGATGTCTTTAGAGCAAACAAACAGAGTACAGATATTATAGGAACAAGGGAGACCAGTACACCAAAATCAGTTCTAATTACTAAGGATATCCTAACAGAGAGAAGCAATGAAGAATTAATCAACCTAAATTCATGCGTTGGACTGCACTTTATAGTAACTCTAATAGGTCCATCATCCTATTTAGGATTATCCTGTTCATTTAATGGAATTAACGTTTTGTATCACCTATTTACATATGATTATAAAACTTATAAGAAGTTGTACTAATCATAAGTCATAGACAATACGGCTTATCTTAGCTTTCATGATAAGTATAGACTAGCTATAAAATTGGACAAAAAGTAGGTCCCGATTTGATAAAATGTGATTTCATACAGCAAAGCTAATATTTGATGCTTTTAGTTTCTGCCAAAGAGAAAATCATTAGTACGTACCACTTGTTGAAATGCCTGTGTCTGGTCTCAAGACCTTGATTGCAACATCAGTGAAATCAAAGCACGCCTCTATTGACGTCAATTATTGTTTTCCAGACGTCAATTCATGCCAAAAGAGATCGGTCCTATCAACTTGATATTATTGTGCTAGTACTTACTATTATGGTATTGGACGAGGTCTTCCGAGATCACGCGAGTTCACAGGTGCTGCTTGGTTTTCTGCTAACAAAGGAGCCAATTGAGAACTCAGCACCTTGAATTGTCACCATCGAATAAAAGGGAATTTTGATTTGATGAACACTTTGGTGAGGTGTGGTAAATTAGCCTCTTCATAGGACTTGTATGTTTCGACCTTAGCTAAAGTGCCAGTATATAACCTCTCAAGACCTGAGCCAGGCCAACTTTGCTTGCATGATTTTCTGTATGAACAAAAAGATGCTCAAAGATCAGATTGCGGTTGGTTTTGGGAGGGGCAAATTTGTCTTTTTCCGCTAAAACATATTTTTATATAAGACTGTCAAGCCTGCAGAGACATTTTAAATTGTATTGAATGATAAACAACAATAATTAGTTAATAACAAAATATATATCGTGTATCATGTTTTTTATTTAAAAAATATTCCACTTCCAACTAGACAGACCTTATATTTCATATTTGTATACTAGAATTTTATAATTTATTAAAAATATTATGGTTTTCAACAAAATAAACATTGTGTAGAGGGACTACCATTAGTCTGGGCTAAGGGTGAGCATTCGGTTGATTCGGTTATAATTTCTCTAAAACCAATCAACCGAATTATATAAAAAATTTAGATCGAATCGAATCAAAATACATAATCGAATCGAATTAAAACCGAACCAAATTTTAATAATTTGGTTCGATCGGTCTATTCGATTTATGGGCTTTGATTTGGATCTATGAAATTTAATTGTTCATATATTCTTTTATCCAATTTTTTTTCCCTTAATGTTGAAGATCCAACAAAAAAAAATAATAATCTTATACTATAATTTATGAGAAAATTAATAAGACTCGGTACTATTGCACTAAAAACATTGTAAAAATAAAAAATTAAAACATCACATTAAGCCAAAAAAAATATTATTACTGTAAGTAGTAAAAAGATGTTTCTTACTCACCTAAATGAGAATTTATTCACATTTTCAAAAATATGAAAGAAAAAATATGAATAATTTGGTCAGTTCAGTTTATTTGATTCTTGAATTTTCAGACCAAATCAAACTGATCAATCAAAATTTTTATTAAAAGAAAACCGAATTGAACTAAAAAATTAAATAAGCTAAATCAAATAAATAAAATTTAATTTGATTTAATTTTGTTCACCCCTGTTCGAGCAAACAAAAGCTAAGAAGGTTGGTTGGCTTATCATGTGTTCGTTCTTTTGCAGGTTATACTCTAGGCTTCATAGTTTGTATGTTTCCTCTATGGATATATGGATATAGAAATTTGAAATTTTAAAAAATATTAATGTATTATAAGTAGGTTTTTTTTTAAAAAAATTACTCCTAATCTAACTCTTTCCAATGAGGAAGAGAGACATATGTATGTATTCTTGCATGCATATTAATCATGTCAATACTAAATTCAAACTTAAGACCTCTTTTAAAAATAAAAGATGGCGTTGTCATTAAGACAGCTAACCGTTAACACATATTATAAGCAGTTATTCAAGTATAATTTCATTAGTTTGAAAATAAATCTTGAATGAATAATTTTTAAGTCAAAATAATTAAGTGATTTTTTAACATAGACTTCAAACAGAAATTAAAAAATTTCTGAAAATATTTTAATTTAATATTACCTTTGTTTATCTCAACTATTAATTTTATTTTATATTTTTTTATCAAAAGTTCTAATATCATCATAAATGCCAGAACTATCAAATGAAATGAAAGTAGCATAATATTAGTTGAAATAAAAATTAGAAATATTTTAATATTTAAAAATAATTAGATTTGATTGCTGAACAATGACAACGGACGCTGTCGTATTGCTCCGTGTGTTAAAAGATGCGACCGACGTAAGCTTTCGTCTGTTTGTAAGAGTAAAGTGGAAAGTCTAGTGTCCATCGGAAGCGAATTTGATCGCCACCGTCATGTGGGGGAGCAGCGTTTCGTTTCACTTCTCTTGGAGAAGTTTCTTTTTCTTCTTCCGTTGTTATTAGCAACTGTGTTAGCTGTAATCCCTTGTTGCGCCAAACTGATTCTGCTTCTTTCATTCTTTTTTTTTTTTCTTTTTCGCCGTAAGTTCTCAGGTAACAACTCTGTCTCTTCCCTTCTTTTGTTTTCGTTTCTGGTTTAAATAGCTAATTTGTTAGTTAGAGCTGGTTTCTGGTGTTGCATGGTTTCTGCCAAGTTATTTTTCGCGTGCTATTGCCATTCATAAGAAGGGATTGCGTTTATTAAAAAGGTTTTTGTCATTTTTTTCCCATAATCTCGAAATTTCCTTTGATGAATATTTTTTTGGGAGGGGCCTCACTGCCAAGGCATTTGATAGAGGAGTGAATTGCTTTTCTTATGAATGGCTAAAATACGCTATTCAGTTCACTTGCAGGATATTGCCGCCTTTGTGAATTTACCTTCTCTTCACTCACTACTCTGAACTCTGAAGTTTATGCCTTTTTGTTCTTGTATGGTGCGATTTCTTGCAAGCTCTTTCTTTGTTGTGTATGGTCATAGTAATTTTCTGTGTCTCGTCTAATGCATCAGTAATAAATGTGGGAAAATGGTTTCGAAACACGACCAGTAACCGCCATTATCTATTGCCGGCACACATATTTGGAGTACTATAAGCAATGGAGAATAATTTGATGTGATTTCTATATTTCTCTGTAATTGCTGCAAAAGCCGTGTGCATAACGAAGCAAAGATAAAATACACTGGCATTTTACAATTGTCAATTACTTGTTGTATCATGTGTGGTTCTGTAATTTGATGTAATTGTACGTGATTCCCTTTCTATTGTGATATTTTCACTGCTTAAAAAGTGTTTCTGATGTTGACTTACATGTTTTAGTCAGAGGAGTTTATTGATAGATCTACACTATCTTTAATTTTCTTCTTACTCATAGCTAGGTTCTAGGGGCCTCAGGAATCTATCTTCAATTTTTGAATAGTTCCCCCCTTTTATGTGAATCTGGTTAGGAATTTAGGACTAAAAGTCTTGGTTGGACAATTATCTCATGTTCTCTATCTTTATGAATTATTAGAATTAATTGATGTAACAAAGGACCCTTTTTTTGGACATGACATCTTTGATGAAGCTGTACTCATATTTTCTTTTTGCAGTGTTGTTTTGGAGGGGAAAATTTTTCCAGCTCAAAAGTTAGGCAGTAAATTGTAGTTTTCACTCAGAGTGTTGAGGCTTTATAACAAGTAGTTAAATATGTTAGTCACATGTGAGAGTTCTAGTAATATTGAGCTTTCTAAGTTCGACCAGTTATTGGTGCTTGTGATAGGCTTACTTGTTTTCTTTTAGGTTGGTTACTTTACCAGGCCATCATGATTCTCAATACTTTTATTTTAGATCTATAATTATTGGATCACATTATATTATAAGTCTTAATGAATCTAACTAAAAGAATTTTAAATTCTAGATCAAAATTGTACAATCTTGTTTATATCTATCAAACGTAAGTTTGTTGAACCCTTTTTAGTCTTTGTGCATAACTACATACAATTTGCAGAAGAATTAAGGGAAGAAAAAGACCATATGGATTTATTAGATCCACCTTCTTAACCTCTGTCAATTATTATTTGGTTGAAATCCTTCAACTAGGAAACATCAGATGGAAATTTATCATGGTTGGATAGAAATTGGGATTGGAATGCCTGTTGGATTCTTCAATCCTATCTTATTTGTTTGAAACATTATCCATTAATTATCCATTAGCCCCCCTTAAACGAGCCTTAATGCTCATGAACCTCTGCTCTTCTCATTGTAAACCTATCATTTTCTTGTATGCTTGGGAAACGACTAATTCAGAAACTTGCTCATCTTATACATGTATATTCTTGTTTCTGTTTTTCCCGCTTTCTGTCTGAACTATGGTATAATCATTGTTCCAGTAAAGTCCTGGTTGTAGTAATTCTATACTAGAAAGACATAATTGAATTAGTCACAGAAGTTGAGTTTGGTTTGGTAGGGCTCTGCTTGGATTATGATGGACCAAAGGAATGGTGAGTATGCTCCCATCAGGGATTCAGAGGACGAGCAGTTGGGAAAATTTGACAAGCCACTTCCTTGTTTTGGCTGTGGATTTGGATGGTTTTTGTGAGTTATTTTATGCAGATGCAATCTTTCTTACTTTCTATTCTTAACTCATTTGCTGATGGCATCTTCACCCCTGTTATATTCTTGCCAGCCTTCTTCTAGGATTTGTGTGCCCGCTTTTTTGGTATTATGCAACAATTCTCTACTTCAGCAATTACTATCGCAGGGATCCAAGAGAGCGAGCTGGACTAGCTGCATCTGCAATAGCTGTGAGTTCATTTTATGTCGAGAACCAATTTACATTTCAAACTCCATATGGTTTGTCAAATGCTGCTTTGATGCCTATCCTATTTGTAGTGCATATATGGAGTGAAGTATAATAAAGCGTAATGTGATACAGGGGAAATCTTCCCACCCCCGAATGAAAGAATGGCTCGGCTCTTGTTCTGATAGATGTTATTGTTGTTGCAGGCTCTAATATTTACAATTGCTGCGCTCATTATATTAGCTGTTTTCATCGTCACAACAGTTTCAACTCACCTATCTCTATTCAATTAGCATTTTGGGGGGGGGGGGGGAATCCCATCTTCAATATTAGTATTCTCTAGAGGAAGGGCAAACTTTATGCTTGGTGGATCAAGCTCTGTGATTACTTATGACTTACAGGAAAGATGGGCAACCAGCCTAGGCTTCGCTAACTGAAATACACAGCTTAGATTATTGTAATTCAGCTTTAATCATAGAAGAATTTCATTCAGAATCAGACTTTCACTACGTATATATGTATCATGTCCTGAAGTAGGCTTGAACTTTAAACCATCGATGAGATTATATGAATGTGAGTTGATAGTGTTTACAAGTTCTTTTGTGCCACAGTTAATATTTTGTCATTATGATCCACCTATAGGTTGTCTAGTAGTAAATTTGTTTTTTTGGTACAATGTCTGATAAGCAAATTTTGATTTCTTGTCGTTATCCAACTGAACTTGGAGCCTACTAGCCTATGTAGCACGGATACTCAAAAAAAGTAAACATACCCGTATTCGATACGTATCCGATACGATACTTGTAGGATACTTCTGCATACGTATCATAGATTCTAACATTTGTGATATGATTTTTTTTTAATAATTTCTTACTATATCACTTAAAAACTTGAAAAAACACTTAATATTTTAGTTAATTACTATAAATATCCTTATATTACTTTAGAAATTCTTGTTTAAAAATCAAAATACTTATACTTATATCATAAAATGTTGAAATATGCATTATAAATATCCTCGTACTTGTATCTTAAAATTTTAAAAATTTGCCGTATCCCTGTATCATGCCGTATCGTATCGGATATTCGTACTTGTATCTATGTAACCTAGACTAGCCATTGCCATATGTGATCATTCATGATGTTGCTTAATTTGTTGTGCTGGATGAAGATGCCACTATTGACTAAATTAATAACAGATTTTTTTTGTTTGAAAAACTTGATATTTAAATGTATCATCTGTACATCCGTAGTAACACACACACACACACACACTCACTCTCTCTCTCTCTCTCTCTCTCTCGCGCGCGCGCGCGCAAAAGCAAATTTATGTTGTGTGTTTGGACAAATCAAGGTTAAAAACTACTATTGCACTGGTTTTTGACCACCCACAATCCAAAGCTGTGTGGTTACCGTTTCATGGGGGTTTCCTATGAGATGAGTATGTTTGATCTTGAGGAAGGAAGGTATCAGCAAAAAGAAAGTAAAAGTAAAAAATTGGTTGATGTTATAATGTATTTTATTTTTATTACTAATTATTGCTAGCGAAAGAACGGAGGTGAGAAAACACGTAACGATTGATTGTCGGGTATTTAATTAATTAATTCTTATGACCCGCTATAGCTAAAGCTTTATTCAATATTTATTTTATGGATTCCTTGTTCCTTTTATTTCACTTATTACTCAAAAAAAATCGTTAGCAATAAATTTAATAAATTATTACAAAGATTAAAAATTAGTTTTAATTTATACTATCCCGGTATAATTTCAACAATTCACATTACATAATTCCATCGTTAGTAAGTTCGGGGAAGGGTGGGGGCTCTTTCCCAATTTGAACTTGAGGCAGTGAGGATAAAAAAGTAAAAAACCAAGATTGTTAGCTAATAAAGGTTAATTTAATTGGTAATAATTTGGTTTATAACCTACAATATTGTGGAGTTAGAAACTGCTATCAAGGTGAGAATTTTATTAATGGGTAATTTATAAATATCTTTATAAGTGTTTTTTTTTTTTTTGAGTTTGAAAGCATGCTTTATTCTTAATAAATTGTAGGTATCCAGCTCACATAAACTTTTGTAATATAAAAAATTCATTAATACCGTCAAGCAGCCATATAATATCCTATCTAACAATTAGGTGCCAAAATTATAGAAATAAATAGATGATATTAAATTAAATATATATTAAATTTAGATTAGATTAATCCATTCAATCATGTTCTGCCCACTTGAGTGCATAATTGTGTTGATGTTACGAGCAGTCAGAATTTGAGGATGACAAATCTTGGGGGCCAAAGAATTGAAGAGTGGCCAAATCCATGAGATGAGCAGTTTCGGTTTAGCAAGAAAAGCAAGGGTCATCACAAATTGGCGACAGCGACGCGTAACGAACATTGCACAACGCGCTTCTCAACATTAGATTATTTGCTGTATTACTTTGTCATTTTGTGCGTCCAAATGCGTCACCGCAAAATGCTAGATGTCAAGTTTCAGACTTCGAGTAATCTTTGATTGTCTCGCGCAAAGCATGCGCGTTGGATCACCATCCCAACTCATCTTTTTGTTGGCTAACTAATACTAATCATGAGCTGCTTCTAGAGACTCATTTGAGTCAGCAAAATTTACTGCTTGAAAAGTACTCGCATAAATACTTGAAAATTATGTAATGTCTTGTAAATTATAAAATTTATTTTTGTCATTTTCTTTAATTTTTCAAATAACTTTCAGTAATTTTCTTACTAGTTAATGTTTAAAGTTAATGGTAAAAAGATTGTCATGATTTTAAAGTTTATGATTTTAAAAACTCCTAGGCCAGATAGTCATTTTACTCTTAAAAAAATAATTATCTCATTTTCTTTTCACATACTCTCTCTATTTAAGAATGTAAGGCATTTTTAATTGAATTTTACTTCCTAATAAAGTAGTTACCTGCTTTCAAACTAATCCTATCTTTTTATATTTACTCCTATCAAATATCATATAATAAATATAAAGTCATTATTAATAGAGACACTTAAAAAAAGAAAATAATTACAGTTCGAAAGATTAAAAATGCCTTACATTTTAAACATACAACTTTTTAAAAAATATCTTATATTTTTTAACAGAGGGAGTACATTTAAATTTTTTTTTTTCCTTATATGTATGCATGCAAACATGTAGGTAATACTTGTTTAGTTTGGCACTGAGGGAGTTCAAACCTTAGTTAGGAATCTAAAAAGTTGGTTGGATTTTTTTTTTAATTACTTGCTCGGATGATCTTTAATCCAAATTTTTGAATGGCTTTTGCTCCCCAAGCCTAAATTAAATGATAAGCTATTTTTACTTTTTTTTTTGGGCTAGCTTTTAAATTGCAAAGTTGATTTTTTTTAAATGTATTTAAATATAAATTATATTACAGTAATCAATTTTTATCAAAATTGTAGTTTGTGAAAGCTCCATTTTTTTAAAACTCTGATCCAAGCATGCAATTATTTATTAACAAAGTAATTACAACAATAGTAATGATTGAACTCATATCTATGTTAGATTTGGAATAGTTTGACAACTAGAACCAGCAATCCATTATCTTACTTATCTTTCAAGTGTTTTGTTTACATCAACTTTATAATAATGAGCTGGACTCTAAGAATTTGTCAGAGACAAAATAATTAAGTCTTATGACTTAGAAAAATATTTATATGAATATTTTTACAAATTATTTGATTTGATGTAAGTAGCAATATTTGAATTCATATATTTGTGGGACTTTGATCAATCCTTACTCGACCAAATTTAATTGGTAACCATCTATATTATTTTTCTTGTAATGCTTGGGCTACTTCAACAAGTTTCATACAGTTTGATTTACTTGGAATCTGAAGCAACTATTTTTTAGTGCTTGTTATTGCTAATGGTTACCTGGTGATTACGTGTGTCTTGATGGGTTCAATTCAATGATTAGACTAAAGGACATGAGTTAAGAGAAGTTTCTTAAACGTGTATTATAATTAATGCATTATTTTCTACTAATATAATCAATGCAATATTTGAATTAGCATAATTGCATATATAATATGTTTAAAAAATGTTAATAATATCAAAAACCCATTTGATTTGACCTCATGGTTCGCGTAAATTATGATTTTGATGGGAAAAAATAACCAAAAAAAAAAAACAGGTGCATAGAAATGAAGTGGTTTGCAAGTAACAAAAATCCGGGCTTGAATTAGTTTGGCCAGGCATAACGATAGCGACTTGTGATTCATATTGGTCATGCTATTTGACAAATACATGCATATATATATATATATGCATATATATATATATACACACACACTATTGAAATAGATAAATAAACTGTGTGGTATAAATATAATGACAATAATTTAGAATAAATAATATGGGGTGGCCAAGTCAAGGTTAAAGCCCTTAAATTCAAAAGCCACATGCCCTGTTCTAACCAAATTGTCTATTTTTAATTACCTGTCATTTCCTGCAAGAAGACAGCCCGACACCGAATTTCCCAATAATCTTTTCTATTGCATTGGTTTAAAACTTTGAAAAAAAATAAAATAATTTTTTTTTAAATTATGTAAATAATAATTTAATCTCTTAAAATATTATAATTTTATTGAAATCTTTAAAGAATTTTGTGTCAATAAATTTTTAAGTGAAAAAAAAATTATTTTATTTTTATTGAAAATAATAAATTCTGATTACAACTTTTATTTAAAAGAAAAAATTTTTATTTTATAAATTGCACGAGTTGAATAAAAATTATTTTTTAAAGAATCACAATTATTTTTTTAAATTTTCAAAATAATAAACCCTATTCATAATTATTGTTTAAGAAATAATAACTATTTTTTAAAAAATCACAAGAATTGAATAAGAAATCACAACTTATCAACAAAAATAAAATAATATTTTTAATTTAAAATTTATTGATACAGAGGTCTTTAAAAATTTCAGTAAAATTATAATATTTTAAAAGACCAACTTATCATTTATATTGTTTAAGAGGTTTTATTATCATTTTTCTTAAGACTTTTTTTCCAAAAGTTTTTTTAATTCCTTTTTTCTATACCGGTGAAGTCTAATGTAAAACATCAAATAAATTAAATTAAATTTTATTATTTATAACTTATAAATAATATAATTTTAAACCTACCCTGTTGGTATAATTTTTTTCTAAACATTGTAATTTAATCTCGTCTCAGAAAAACTTTGAATGATTTTTCAGAATTGAAAGATGAAATGAAATAAATATATTACATTAGATTATTAAATTAAGATTAAATTAATTTTAAAGACGAAAGAAAAAGGAACAAATCCAAAAGTAAATAAAAGATTAAAATATGAGAAATAAATTCATCAAATTGAAAGACAATTTTTTAAATAATTAAAATATATATTTAATTTTTTAATTTTATATAACATTTTATTTTAATTTTTTAATTTTATAAAATATTCTTTTAATTCTTCAATTCTTTAATTTTAATATTGTTAGTTTTATCTCAATAAATTTTTATATTAAATTTTTAAATATTAATATTAATATATTAAATTTAATTTTTTAAAATAATAATGATAGATATAAAAAATAATTATTTAAAATTAAAGATTAAAAAAATTTAAAATTAAAAAATTAAAATTAAAATTTTATGCATAATTAGAGGAGTGAAAGTATACATTAGCCTGTTTTTTAAACCCGTCGTCACGTTCCCCTTCCCACCAATCTCACTGATAGCTCCATAATATAAGAAAGCGAAGCTCACAAAAGGTGGAATCAGCATTACACGACACGACACAGCGCAACACGAAAGCAATTATAAAAGCTAAAGTCTTCCCCAAAAGCTCATTTGCTTCTCATTGATCTCTTTAAAGCAAAACCCATCAAAATGGAAGAAGAGGAAGACATGTTGCCACCCTTTTGGCTACAACAGGACGGCGGCCGGCGCCGCCGTCTCCGCCGCTCGTACTCTCTCTTGTTCAGCTCTGGTACTCTTCTTGTATTCATCATTGTCACAGCTTGTGTGATTGTCTTCATCGTATTTCCTACATTGCGCTCTTTCACTTCTCATATATTCAGACCGCAATCAGTGAAGAAGAGCTGGGATTCTCTGAATTTGGTGCTTGTTCTCTTCGCCATTGTTTGTGGATTTCTTAGTAGAAATAGCAATGAAACCCCGCGTTCATATGAAGATCGAAGCTTCTCAGAAGCAGCTTCTGCTCGAGAGTATGTGAAATCGAATCCAGAAACACCAACGAGGCCGTGGTATGAATATTCCGAATCAGATCGTACGGCGTTTAACAGGTTGAGGAGTTTCAATTCCTACCCCGATCTCCGGCAAGAGTCTTTAAGGATCGCCGGCGATGAGAGATGGCGATTTTACGACGACACCCATGTTGGGGGTTACCGTGGATCGGACTTAGATGATCAACGGCAGCTCCGCCACAGCCGGGTAAGATCGGAGGTAGTAGAAGAGGAACAGAGTGTTATCAAGAACATAGCCGTCGACTCTTTTGTTGTTCGTGCCAAGGAAGTTCATAGTGCGGCCCCGATACGGGAGACGCAACAACCAAATATTTCTCCTCATCCACCACCACTATCGCCGCCGCAAGTTCAACCCAATGAAGATGTTCGAAGATATGCAAAGCGAACATATCACGCCGCTGGAAGATCGGGGATGATTGATAAAGAGGAAACAGTTGAATTGGAAGTCAGAGAATCCCAACCACCGCACTCGACAATGGTGACGTCATCGCCGCAGACAGGTCCGCCCGCTAAAGGTGTCCGAAAAAATTCCAGGCGAACATATCGAAGTTCAAGGCCAGCTCCAATGATTGAGAAAGAGGAAAACAGTGAATTGGAAGTCAGGAATTTCCCGCCACCATCACTATCAATCCCGCCGCCGCCTCCTCCTCCTCCGCTGCCAGTATTCTATCTGTCATCAGAGAAGAAGACTGGCCACGATAAGAAAAAAAGAGGGAGTGCGACTAAAGAGTTCTTAACATCATTGAGGGGGAAGAAAAAGAAACAAAGACAGAGGAGTGTCGAAAATTTTGAAAGCATTCTGAACTCTCAAGCTTCACAACTGCCACCATCTACGCCGCCTCCCCCTCCTCCTCCGCCGCCGCCGCCACCGTCAGTTTTTCATAATTTGTTTTCTCCCAGGAAAACCAGACAGAAGAAAGTTCACTCTGCTCCGCCGCAGACACGAGTATCAAAAGCCCAGAAACACCCCATATCAAAAGAGAGAGAAATCTTCAACAGCACGGAAGGAAATGTTTTTACTGGCAATGAGTCACCTTTGAACCCAATCCCCCCACCACCTCCGCCGCCGCCGCCGTTCAAGATACCGGCATGGAAGTTTCGGGTGCAGGGTGATTTTGTCAGAATCGATAGCGTTAGAAGCTCCCGTAGTAATTCGCCAGCTATAGACGAAGGTGTGGACTCGCCAACCAATCACGAACAGCCTGCGACACCGCTGTTGTTCTGTCCAAGCCCCGATGTTGATACTAAAGCTGACACTTTCATTGCGAGGTTCAGAGCTGGTTTGAAGTTGGAGAAGATGAACTCAATGAAAGAGAAGCAGGATATAGGGAAGTCCAATCTAGGCCCTTCCTGAGTGTAGAAAGCAGAGAATCAACTGGACTAGAGTGAGGTTGCTAATTACCGTATTCTTTAAATATTTATACATATGTATTCTTTTGTTCTTTGCTAGAATTTTCCTGAATGCTTCATTGTTTTTGCATGTACTCTGAGATCAAACTCCGAGAATAGGAAGGATTCGCGATTCCCTGACATAGAATTATTGAATTACATTTTCTTTGGGTAATGTATATGCGTTTGAAATTATTAGTTTTGAATGTGTGATTGTAATGTCATTTATGCATGTTATTTCAGGCTGTAGTGCACAATTATGTGATACATGAATGAATGAGAGCAGTTTATGTATCACAATTTGTGATTTTACCCTACTTACCGTAACACAATACTTACGAGTTATCCCGATGTCCAAAAATCATGTTGACTAATTCAAATTCGAACATTTTTGTCCCTCGGACTAACATGCATTGATGGATAAAACGTACTATGACATGAACGTCATAGTTTAGAAGACTTGTTGGTCTAATCCAACTTCCTCCAAACTGGAGAATTACATTGTCTTTTTGTTCATGTCATGGATACAAATGATTCTAGTAGAGATACGTTAGTGAAAGAAACTCTTCGGTTCTGGTTTTGTTCATAGGAAGCTGCTGTAAAAGCTACAAGTTCCTCTGAGCTAATTGTTTGATCAGGTCTTGCAGAGAATGTTCTTGTCTTATACTCTCAATCCACCTGGCTTTGATTCGGATTTTCTCAATGCTTAGCTTCAAGTTCATAGCAATTGAAGGGTTCATGCGACTAGCAAAAAACTCTTCTATCTCCTCTGCTTTTTCGATGCTATTAACCTGCCAGATAATATGAAATTCAAGGAGTTTAAGGTTCTAAGGTTCATCCATGACATCTTAAAAAAAAAAAAAAAAGTATGTTTCACATTGGAGCTCGCATCATATTCTAAATTCTTTTTTATTTAAGGAAATTGAACACTGTATTATAGAGTATGTTTTAAGAAGACTCATTTTTTTCCTAATCTAGTCAAGATCATATTGTCCTATTTGTCATTTTACACCCTCAATGATTAAAGGCAACCAAAAATAAAACCGATGCCAACCGCAAGAAAGTCAAAAACCATCAAAACAATTCCAGGTCGACACGAAACTCTAACCAACAGTTAACAAGCTGTGGCAATGTTGAACATCTCATCAGAACTCAAATTTGATACTGCTTTAAGGAATGCCATATCCTATTGGCATAACAATTCAACAATTCAAGGGCAACACTTCCATTAAGTGTGGCTTAAAACAAGCATCAGCAGCAACACGTTACAGCTACCATTGTAGCTGTCAACTGACCTTCCTTCTCTTGCCCCATTTGAAAATACTCTGGCTTTCTAGAAACTGTTGTATGGTAAAGGATTTTTTTGAAAGAGATGTAATATATTGCTATGCAATATTGAATAATATAGGTTTTTTTGGTAAATTTTGTCTCATAAATCATGGTGAGCATTTAAATAGTATCAGTTCTCATCAGTTTAAAAAGTATAATATAAAGTGACATTGTGAAACAAAGTTCAGATAAAAATATATGACTAGCAAACAAATCCTTTGGCTGGTACACAAGAATCCCAAAGATGGCTTTAATTAAAAAATAAACATAAATCTAAATTTAAGGTCAGCAAAATAGTTAAATTATAGGACTCGTGGTAATTGCTCCTTACAAAGGGCGATGCCATGAATATAATACCTATGAAGAAGCCTAGGAAAGTTGCCACAACATGGCCATCATCTACATTGTGAAGAATCTCATTTGTCATTGATAGAACTAAGCATGTGGAGGCAGACCAGTACTTCACTATAGAGAAATTTAATTCTGAAATTTGATCTCTTCTACACACTTTCACAACTCCAAGAGTGAAGTTTGAAGATTAGAGCGTCAAGATGGGAATGATCAATATCCATTCAACAGCTTAAAGAGGAGTGTAAGTTACCATGTAAGGAGTTTCACATGATTCCATTAGCGGTCAGCTATATTTAATAAATTTTTTGATCTCTTATCTTTTCCTCTGTTTGACTGTGCAATCTCTATCATTTTGTTATGTGTTTTTATTGTTGCTGATTTTGTGGGATTGGAGTCTGTGCCTTTGTCTGTCCACTCCCCACTTATCACGTTTGTATTTGCAAATTCAGAATAGAATAATAGTGCCCAGAGCTGCGCTAAAGGTTTAAGGTCTCCTATTTTTCTCCATATATTATAATTCTCACTGTTGGGGGATCAACACTAGTTTATTCTATACTTTTTATTTCCTTAATTATTTTTTACAGGAAAAGGGTCGGGGGAGGAGAAAATACCGTTGAAACATGAAATGTCAATTGATTTACTCTAAATTATGATAAACTGCCAAACTCAAAAAGAAGGCAACATAGTAATTGATAATCTAACACCCCACTTGTTACGTTATAAGGAAATCATTTGCTTACCAACGGGACGATTTTGTTAATGAAATTGGTGAGCAAGAGTCCACTACCATATTTGGTCAAGATCATTTCCCAATTGTCCTGCATTGGTCATCAATTCAAAATGATTCTTTAGATTTAAATGAAATGATCTTATCTACAGTTTCTATGCGGTTCAGTAATGCTATTATTGGCTTGACCAAGCTCCTATTTAAAACAATGCAAATGCTAAATGCTGTTACTTATTTTTTTAGTCACACGGGAAAATTTTCACGTAATGTAATCTTAAGAAAAATAAGTGAACCAAATCAATCATTAATACCATATGTAAGCATATTAATACAACTTCTTAATGAGACTCGCTTTTAATAAGTTTACACATTACTAATGTTTGGTTTAGTCTAATCCTTCTTTTTTAAATTGAGTTATCTAAGAATCTAATAATTTTTTGAATACAGAATGGATGATGAGTGATAACAAAATTAGGACAGACAAGAACTAGCTGCCATGGAAGCACATACCTTCAACCATCCCCATGCTGTTTCGCTTCCTTCAGAGCTTATTCCAGCAAGTACAAAAACACAATCTTGATCCCGGATCTAAAACAATTTACATAAAGGACATTTATAGACAGAAAGGAATTTCAGCTGCTAGCAAACTGACAACGCATTACCTCATCAGACAACAAAAGATCCAGAACTTCCAGAACTATGTTTGGATCCGCACTTGATGCAAGACAACCTGAATGATTTTAAAAAGAAGATAGCAAATCAAGAAACATTACACAATGCAGTGGAGACTTGGGATGGAACACTCAAAATGCATTTAATCTAAATGTTACTGTATCATACGTAGTATTCTTTCCTTTTCTTGTAACACATCAGTTCTCTTGTAGAAACTCAATAGGGATTCAAACCCAGTCCTGCTTTTGGTGGTGGTATTCCTCATGACAGCCACATAAGAAGCCTTCAGAATATTTAACACATCTTCTAATCAAACATGAACAGATCCAAAACTATTACGAAGTGTCAACAACAAAAATTCTCGATTTTACCCTTCTAGTGTCAACTGAAAGCAGAGGAGTATTGCTGTCATCCAGCAATATCAGAAAACGCTGTAATGCTTCTTGCTGAGTCTCATCATGATCAAATGTAGACAATGCCTGTAACACTGCTTCTCTCAATAGTGAACTTGAATGGTCTTCTCCTTCTTTAGAATCCCAACCTAATTGTCTGCATAAATAGTAAGTGACTAAGGGCCTGTTTGTTTGAGATTAAAAAATAAATAATTTTTAGATAGTTTAGAGATTTTAATAAGAAGAGATTTATTTTGTAGAAATTTTATAAAAAGCAAACATTATTTTATGTTTAGTTATAATAATTAAAAAGTAATTATTAGTTAGTTATTTTTACATTTTATGATATTTTCTTTGATTTTCATTTTATAAAAATAGTTTATTATTAAAATTTTATGATATCTTTGTGTATCCCGCCTCTTTAAAATACTCTCTCTTATCTACCTCATTAGATTATTTTCAGAAACTACTTAAAGTAGTTTTTTAAAATAATCAAAAATCAAATTGTTTTCAGATTTTGATTATTTTCAAAAGTTTAAACAAACATAATAAAAACTCACAAAATAGATTTTTTTTTTTCAAAAAATAAGTGATTTTTTTTTTTTATGAAACAAGCTAAAACAAATTAGCCCGATTGATCCACAAAAGCAGAATCTTACCTTCAATATATGAATTCAGAATGAAACATTTGTCTTATAGATGATCAATTTATTGAAAACTTAATTTTTATGAGGATGCAGAACAGCATACTGATGAGTGAGGAATTCTTCATATTGAGATATATGTGCATTGTGCAGCAAAGTTAAATTGATATTTTAAATCCAATTAAAGTGCCTTCTAATTGTAGAATTCATCCTTACTTTGCAGAAAACTTGAGGAGGCTGATAAAATATTGTTTCAACTCGTACACAGATTCTGGGATGGCATCACTTGAGATTTTCAGAATATTGTAACAAACCTGTCATAAAAAGAATTATGAAATCATTTTCCTATTGATAACTCATGAAGTTACTAAGAATATTAGAATAGAGTACTTGTCCTTACATAAATGATTTTTGATACAATAACATAATCAACCTCTTTTCTGTATACATCCATCAACAAAAGTAAAGATGAAAGTGACTGTTCACAAGCCTGGCAAACAGCATTTGCATCATCCAAAATGCCTGAAAATGAGTTACAAAAAGACTTGAATGAACCACCAATTCCACGAGATCAAGACAAACAGTGGGAAAGTACCACCAAATACAAAAATAAATAAATAAATAGTTGAAACCTGTATTCTCTTCCTAAAATCAAAAGTTTATTTTGGGATATAAAAAAGATTGTAAGAGAGAGTAAATTTCTTCTGTCCTCACACTGAGAGTTCCTCTGGTCTAAAACATCTTATTTTCTTCAGTCTGTTGTTATATACCTAGACTAATCATATCCTTGTAAATACAACATGCCTAAAATTGCAGTATCATAGATTGCTATGTACATGTCACTTGCGCATCATACCTACCAAATTTATCCGTAGCTTTCAAGTAATTGTTTTGTATGGCTTTTCTCAGTCGAACTGCAAGCTTGTCTTCATAATTTACCCTATAGAAACCACTTTGATCAACATTGACTTTAACCCATAACTTTTCGTCACTGTCCTCCACATTTTTCTCTTCAGTCGAGCTTTGACTATCACCACTTGCTTGAACCAGTCCGGATATATCCAACTTTCCCTGGCTTGTATCCAGAAGGAAATTTTTTCTCCGCTTATATGAACCGATACACAAGGTTACAGGAACAATCCATTGCCCATCAACATGTGCACCAGATAAAAGAAATTGTGACTGCAAATCCAATTGTTACATCAAAATGACTCTGACAACAATTACATTCAAAGGTAAAAATAAAAGGGAAAAAACCGATATCTAACCATTTGATGGGTGTTATTTTGATTGCGACTTCATTATACCTGTTTGAGTTCCAAAATATGATCTTCTAGTTTAACATTGATAACTGGGTATCCTGTCTCTTTTGTCCAAGTGTTCATCATTGAGTTGACTTGCACACCTGATTCCTCTGAAAGAACGGTCCATAGATCCTCTGTCCTTGCATTCTGGCCTTGATGTTTTCTTATATAAGTGCTTAAGGATTTCTGGTTGGGAAATAAATATAGAAGTCAGCAGAATTACCTCAAAGCTTCTCATTTAACATTACAATTTACAAAGTTGGATGATTCAATTGTGATGTTTGGAAACTTCTAACTAGGAAACAGCAAGCTGCCAGGAAACTTCCCTTCAATTCATTTCATTAAAATGGTTAATATAACAATAACTCCATGCTAAAAATCTTGTCACTGAATAGCCATAAGAAAGAGTGTTTATATTTCAAACATAACAAGGTTTATAGCACGCAGAAATTTACACCACTGTGGAGAGAAACCATTCTGATTCTTTGAAGTGGAGCTCAATTCAAAATATTGGATAGTTGGAATATACAAGTGCATATGAGCACACGCAATGTGTGCATGAATCAAACTGAAGAAACTAGTATAGGAAACTTTTATGGATGAATGGTAAAAGAATACATGAAGATATCACAGATATTCATCAGCTTCTAAATCTATTGTCAAGACAGCTCAGCTGTCCAAACAGGAAAGAAGCACAACACAAAGAAGCTGAGGTTCCCGTGAAACTTTCTTATATCACACAGAACGCTTAATAAGAATTTGGAAGTCATGCAAGCCTAAATTCAGACAAATATTTCCAGTCTAAAATTAGAATTTAAGACTGACAACAAAAAGTTCAAGATCTAATAGATTGTTGCAAGATTGCAATGAAGTGCTCAGATCTATAGCAATGGTCAACGGAAAACAAAGAGGCCATGTATGGGCTTCGTAGTGTGAAGACATAACTCCTCTTGAATAATTTAGGGTTCAAAACAGCGTTGTCACCTGAAATATCTCATCACCAAGATAACCCTGCAACATTCTTATAACAGTAGATCCTTTTTCATAGCTAACAGCATCAAAGACTTCAATAACTGAGCGTGCATGGTGTATTTCTACCTGAAAATATGCCAATCAGAAGTAACTCAGTCACTAGTTTGCTTAGTGCAGTTATACTCGGCAATCATGTCTGCAATGAAAGACACGAGAAATAAACTAGAATCAAGGATGAAAGTGGCCTCTCATATACTTTTGTCGGGATCTCTTTTCTCTATTTTCCTTCTCTCTTTGTTAAATCTAGCTGTTCTTTTGTCTTTAGTAGTACATCACTGTGCAGTGCCTTAGTCAAGTGCCCCCAAAAACAGTGCCTTAGTCAAGAATACAAAATATAATGTTTCTCCAATCTGATTTCTTTACCATCAACATTAATAAAAAAAATTTAGTGTGCTTTGATGAAGAAATTTCAAACATAACAGCAGATTGGGGTAATTGTTACCTCTATTGGATGTGATGTTTCCAGAGCATCCATTTGTAAACCATTAGCAGTTTCTAAGAGGAACTGAGTCCATATATTCCACTCCGGAAATAAAATGTCAGTGGCCATATAACTTATCTGGAAAAATGGTTGCAGAAGCAAAGATTATTTTATTGTGCATTGGTTATAAGTCAAATCCACCAGGTTATAAATAATTACCCATGTCGCAAAACCTTCATTAAGCCATAAATGAGTCCACCATTCCATAGTTACCAGATTGCCAAACCACTGATGAGCTACTTCGTGTGCTGTGACAATTGCCATCTAAGGGAACAGGCAAGGGCTATCAGCTACGGTTGACATTCCATTTTATTTGTTTTAACATATGAAGAGTGAAAGAAACAAGAAGTATGCTGCTCCTCAAAGAAAACAGGAAGTTTCTAGTTGCAAACAAAGATGACATTCGAAGGGTGACTAGGTCTGTAACTTACACGTTGCTTCCTAGCAGCATTAGAATACAAATCATGGAGGAGAAGTTCAATTTCACGATAGATAATCAAACCATAGTTTTCCATGGCTCCACCAGAAAATTCAGGAACAGCAACGAGGTCCAGTTTAGGCAGTGGATACGGCACTGAGAAGTACCTATGATTTCACAAACAAATTCAACTAGAATTGATCAGTTTAAGAACACCATGAAAGAGGGAAAATATTGTAGTTTTTGTTTGGATTGTCCAATTTAATTATATATTTTACTTGCGGATTCAGGGAAGTTGCTGATGGGGCCCTTTGGACCATTCCTTCTTTCTTTGTTTTTACCATCCAAGGGAAGAATTCTAGCCCAAAACATTAAGACATACCTCCACTTATACTGCACGGTCTAGACATTCTATCATCAGCTCTTGTAAGATAAATAGTGAAATCCCCTTCCCACGGGATAAAAAGGCTCGAATAAAAATGACTATTTCTTACCTCAATTGAATTTCAATGTAAAATGAGATCTATCTATAAAATGAGTATTGTCAAAATTAAGAAGGTCGAATTTACTGTGTATATATATCTAGTGTCTTCACTGCTATATCCAATGCAAACTTCCCTTGATCACTCTTCCCAATAGCACAATATAAATTAACCTTGATCCCTGCAAAAGAGATCAAAATAGAATCCATAACTGTACGAGGTTTGGCTTGCAATAGGATCGCTACCGTCTGACTTGTTTGCTTACCAGCATATGTTTCTTCAATATGATCAAATAAGCCAATAACGACAGCCACCAAATAAGTAGACATGATGGGTGATTCCTCAAAATAAACAGTCTTTAAGTTTCCATCATGCTTTTCAATTTCAACTGGCATATTAGACAATGCTGTCAACTCTGATGGCACAGTAAGTGTTATCTTAAAGGTTGCCTGTTAAGAATGGCTAACATTGTCAAAACAGGTTGTCTGATATCCAGTGGAAGTAAGGCATAAAATATAATTCTACATATATATACCTTCAGAGCAGGCTCATCCCAGCATGGGAAGCATCGCCTTGCATCTACTGCCTCAAACTGAGTAACTGCCATATTTTTCTTCACTCCTCCGTCAACATATGTGCTGGTAAAGTCAGTATGAGAAATTGCGACCGAGTAACAACCATATTTTCATTTTGATTGGTCAAATAAATAGTTTCATGACAGCTTATCTTGAATATGAGCCAGTAATTCATTTAACGGCATAACTCTAGAAGAATTAGCTTTATGACTATGGCTACACAAGGAGAATTGGGATTTCTTTAAATTTCAAGAAGACTAACTCACAGGTTCTTGGGAGAAAATGCTTACTAAGCCGAGTGGTTCTTGCAAAGATATATAGGTCTATTTTTTTCCCTCCCCATTACGTGAAAACTAGCTTGGAACTTGAAACCCATGGAATAAATCTATAGTACATGGAGTGTGAGGTATCATCTTATCCATCTACGAAATCTACGATCGATGATTTGGAGAGGATTTCATTATGTCAAAAGGAGATATCATTCGTGAGAAGATTTTAATATTTGGAGGTTGTGGTAGACTTTATGTAGCTCGTGATTACTATAAAAAAAAATTAAGTGGTTAATCTGTTGTAGCCTGAGCTCCTTTGTCCTATCAAAAATAATAAAAATTTAAAAATAATAAAATTTTTAATTTCTCAAATTTATTTAATTATTAATTTAAGTTATTAAAACTTAATTTTTATTAATTTAATCTTTTAAATTTACCTTAATTATTAATTGTTCCATATTATTTAAATAAAAAGTATTTCTGTTAAAATATTAATATGGATAACTAAATATTAATAGTAACAATGTATATTAATAAAAAAAAGTGTAATTGTTTAGGTTAAAAAAAAAAAAAAAACAAAATACAGCGCACGCAACTAGATTAATAAAAATTAAACTAATTTAAAAATTTATTTATTCTCATTTAATTATATTTACATGCTAAGTTATCAAAATATTTATATATCAAATTAAATTCATCTTTTAAAATTTTTAATTAACAAACGTGATAATTTAAAAAATATATAAATGATTGAATCAATAAAAAATTTAAACTTAAAGAATTGAATCAATAATTAAAATAAATTTAAAAGAATAAAAGTTTTATTATCTAAAAAATTTATATAACTTGATATATGTTAATTTTTAGTTGCTAAAAATGTCGTATCTTTATATTTATTACATAATTCCTTAGAAAGGCATCCCATCATCTACTCTTATCAGCAAAATTCTCAAGTCGAGAAAATTTAACATAAAGAGGGAAAAAAGGGCACCATTTGTAGAATCCTGTGAGGTGCTCATTAAGAATCCCAGAAAACTCAATCAACAGAACTCCTCCTCCAACATGCAGCGGCTCATCAAACACCAGGATGACAATCTCATCATCATCATACACAACAATATCACGCGGAAAGTACTGTTGAAATTGTAACCAGAATAATCACCGAAAATACACAATTTGCATCATAAAACAAGACCTGATCACAGAAAAGTATAATCGATACCTCCACATGATGAGAGTTAGTGTACCAAACTCTCTGAATATCAAGTTCGAGGGCGTTTAAGGCAAGAAACTTGGTGTTTTCATTGATCGTGAGGCTGATTTTGACGGTGCCAGAAAAAGTACAGGCAGAGAGATCAGGTTTGAGATGAAGATCGTAGCGTTTTGGAGCAGCAAATTTGGGTAACCTTGTTTGACCTTTGAATTGCTCTGTGCTCTGTTTCAGCTCCATTTTCCTCCAAAGTTTTCGCTAAAAATTTGTGTGGCAAAGAGCAGTGGAGGCTTCTCCTTATCATGCTTCGCTGAGAAAGACAGATTTTTTTATTATTTTCCCAACTTGTGTGCAAGTTTTTCCAGCAAGTGGTTTGACTCTTCAACCTTCGGAGAAGGAGGGAACTGATTGGTCCTTTTCTCTAGTTTCTTGAGCAACACAGAATTTAATTTAAACTGATATATTTTTTGCCAATTAAGGGCTGATTAATAATCACTAGAGAGAGACAAGGGCAGTGGCTGGAAAACACGTTGATTAGGGCATGATGACCATTCAAGTCTTGACGCAGAAGTCTCCTACACTGTGACATTTATGTGAGGATGTTAGTCCAACTCAAATTATGCATGATCGAGCTGGGATATGTTAAAACCTTAACATTCAAAGATCAAAGATTAGTGATCTGCTGGCTTATTTGGAAAAGACGTAACGAGAGAACCCATGATCGAGCAATTTATTATTCGCTGCATGATGCAAGCCGGGCATCGATTGATGGATGAAAAAGATCAGTAGGAGAACGGAATACCAGATCATTTTCACAGAATAAGTCCTAGGTTATATAAATGCACATACAAGCATTCGATAAGATACGGTATGATATGGTGATATGGTAAATTTTTAAAATTTTAGAGTACAAATACAAAAATATTTATAATATATATTTTAACATTTTATGATATAGGTATAGGTATTTTAATTTTTAAACAAAAATTTTTAAAGTAATATAAAGTATGTATAACAATCAACTAAAATATTAAGTGTTTTTTCAAGTTTTTAAGTGATATAGTAAAAAATTATTTAAAAAAATTATATTATAAATGTTAGAATTTGAGATACGTATGCAGAAATATTTTACAAGTATCGTATCAGATACATATCAAATTTAAATACGTTTAATTTTTTGAAATACCCATGCTTCTTCATAGAGAATGATGTCGTGGTACAGGAAGTTTGGTTTATTGTGTTTGTAGATGAAGCAATAGACTCTGGATAAGAAGCAAACTGTAACACTTGTCTCGAGTATTATCCAAAAATCACACAATTTAAATAAACTAAGTGTGGTTAAGGAGTTGATCTTAAAACCAATTTAGGAAACAAATCATTTGAATCAATAAACAAATACACTATCGCAAAATAAACATTTAAAGCCTTTAGAAAAATTTATAGGTTATACCTATAGCGTACGGAAGCAAGCTAGATGAAAGTGGGATGACAAGATGCTGTCATGACAGCATCAAAGACAGCTCTCCTAGGCCAACTTCTGGGAGGCGTTGTTTCGTCATTCAACCTTCAATCGAAGTGATTTTAAAGTTTACACGTCATTTTTAATGATGACTAGTAATGTACCAAATTATAAAATGATCTAAGGTCGGATTAGAATTTAGACACTCTAAATAATTGAATAAAGTTGCTGTCATGACAGCACTTTTGGACTAGCTTTCAGAGCGCACAATTTCATCATCTAACCTCCGATCGAAGTGATTCTAAAGCCCACATGTCACTTTTAAAGAGTAATATTAGCATATCAAATTTTAAAAAGATTCGACAAATAGATTGAAATTCGTGCATGTTGCAACATCAACACTATTGCTGTCATGACAGCACTTTTTTTGTCATGACAGCTCCTCCAGACCAAAATTTAGAGTGCACCGTTTCTTTGTCTGGTATTCGATTGATATGATTCCAAAGTCCATGCGAAACTTATAAAAATTTTTACTCGTGACCCAAATTTTAGAGAAATCCAACGGTCGGATTAAGATTTGATACCCAAATATAAAAGTGCAGTTTTTTTTGTAAAAACCATTTTTAAAATTGTCCAAATCTCATTCTAAGGGTCACAAACTTGTGGGAACACTTTGGACACGTCAAATAGGACTAGAAGTACCTGATATAACATTTAAATGATAGAAAAAACCCTTATATCAAAATTTGACCACCCGAGTACCATTTTCTAAAATGGATCCTATGCCCCTAAAATTTACAAATCACACAAGAGTAGTCAAAATCTATTTCAAATATCATATATGCATATAAATACACACGTTAAACGTTTTCACTTGGCTCAGAGATCTCCATGGGGCCCACACACCTACTCTTTCTATCCAAGGTTTATGTTTGCTCATAGCACACCATTTACAATGCAACCACTTTGCATTTGCTTGTAGAATCACATATATATTAAAATAAATATTTGCTTATAGTAAAAACTTGGTCTATTAAATAAATCTGTTAAAACCACACACCATAGCTAAGTTTCCTAGCCACAAGTTTACAAGCAGACAAAAATTCATACACAAGCCATACAATCCACACATATATATACATAATCACATCCTATTAGCATCCTAATCCTAAATATATTAAAATTGATTTGCTCAAAAGAAAGGGGTTGTAGTTCTTTACAATCCATAAACAACCCCTAGCTCTGCTACTTTCCTCGTCCACCACTAGTTTCTTCACCTGGACCTAGAAATATTGAAAAGAAAGGGGTGAAACAACCATAATCTCAATAACAGAGAAATCTACATTAATTATTACCAAGTAAGTCATGATCGAATAAACGAATAATAAATTCATCATAGTATATAATTTAGTCATTTTAAATACATAAATGCATGACATAAGTCAGTATGGCCTTTCCTGACCAACAGAATGCCCCCTGGCACTCTTTAGCTTGCAGGTAAACCTTATACCCACCCACTTGTACCTCCATAGGCACAAAACATAATCTAAGGCATAATCGAATCTGCTTATTCGCTTGTGCTCCTTCAACTTAAATTCTAAGTAGCCAAAGCTAACTCTTTCCCAGAGTTAGCCTGATTTACTCTCTATGTGAGGGCTACCTTGACTTAGGCACTCCACCTCACACTTCATATGTCAGATTTCCTCCCCCATTGAGAGGTGTTGAATACTCAATCCACTAACTACTTTAGTACACTAAGCCCATAATACAAAAGACAATATTGAGTACTGGTAGTGTGCTATAGAATATCACAAGTTCACATCTCCCCATTGGTGAACCCCCACCGAGATCATGCCTTTCACTCTTGTCTACTTTTCTCAAGTATTGATCACTTTAATACTCTAAAGTAGTATAACAAATATCACTCCTCCCTTAAGCAGTTCCTTAGCCTCTCTAAGGTACCTAACCCAATTACACTTTTTTAAGTACAACTTTCATTCTCTATAATTTCAATGCATACAAACAACCTTGTTTCTATAAAAACAATATTGTTAAATGAATAGAAAACATATATGCACTATTATCTAAGTAATTTCCTATAAATCTTTATAAAACAATTGCATTTAATCATTTAAAACGTGTAATGCATGATAGCTAATAATATTTATTCAAAAATAGCTCAACAAAATAATAAGAAATATAAATTTTCCTGTTACCTCTATCCTTTGGTACCAAAGGGGTTTCTCTTGTACAAAATAGGACTTAACTTATTCCTTAACTTCTCAATAAGTTTCACAAACAATTCCCTACAACATATAAATTATCCATATCACTTTTCATGATAAATAGCATTAATGAATACTATAACTCATACCATATAACTTAAGTCAATGAACCATAATCCATCCCAATGATCTATATATTAAACCAACCATTCACATAATACTACTTAATCACCAAAACCGTTTATTAGCCACCACTAGGCCAATTTTCAATTCATATAATTTTTAATCAATTAAAAACCTTCACTTAGGGTTACCAACTTTCACCATTAGCCTTTATAATGAAAACTAAACCTTAATTTAAATCTTATTGGGCTTAAATAAAAAAATTATAACTAAATCAATAGGTTTAAACTATTGAGGAGCAAAACCCAGCTTCTTGAGATTTGACTTTTGCCATAAAACTTCATTTTTCATCCAAATGCCCACTCAAAACATTAGAGCATCATGTAGAAACTTAAAACAATCTCCCAAGGATCCAAGAAAACTAAAGCTTACAAGAATAAAGTCTTTTGGATCAAATTTTAAAATTTTTTTCTTTTAAAAATTGAAGAAAACCAAGAGGGAAGGAAGAGAATTGAAATAAAAAATTTACCTATTGTGTAGCTCACAATGCTCGCAAAGCTTCCTAGATTCGAATCTCACTGCCTCTCTTCCTCCTCTCTTCTTACTCTCACTCTCTCGTCTATTCGTTTTTTTTTTCTTTGTTTTTATTTTCAGCTTCTACGTTCAATTTTTCCTTTTAAATTTGATTTAAAAATTTTGAAAAAAATTACAAAAAAAGGTCCAATATTTTTTATTATAGTATAAAAGCTCGAGTCAATTTTTGTAATTTTCTCATAGTTAAAAATAAAATAAAACTAAACTTTTATTGAGTAAAATTTAAACTCTGAACCTCTATCAAATTATTCTTAATTTTAATTTAATTATAAATATTTTATTTTTTAAAATAAATCTGAGTTTTAAAATTTTTGAAATATTACACAAGCTATTATTAAATTATTTTTTTAATATCAAAGTGTCAATTCATTTTCCCATGAACAAGGCCATAATGCAAAAATGGGTGAGAAATGATGAAGTTGGGTCGAGTCAAAATGAAAAAAATCCCTGCACCTTAAATAGGGATTGTTAAAAACATCGACACAGATGGCTGATATGCTTGTTTGTTTGCTTGCATGCTAATTTTCTTCTCTGAAAATATAATCTAAGCTGACAGCTCAATCTTGCATAATAATATTTCTAGTTTTCTTGATATAGCTAATAAGCAAATGGTTTTAGACATGTTATTATAGAATAAGTGAGATGACATTAAGGGAGATTAGAAGTGTTTACAGGATAGAATTAGGATAGTTTTATCTTATGTCTAGCTCTAAAAAATAAATTGGACTAAATTTTTCTTCAGTGTCATATCCCATCTTGTTTGAGATCAAGATATATTAATAAAGCAAACAAAATATAAAAGCGAGACATGCATAACAACACTTATTAAATTACATAAATTATTAAATATAAAACAAAAACAACACCAATATATAAATTCAATCATTGAGTTTTAAGAATTACAATTTCAAGAAAAAAAAAATACAATCACAATAACTACAACTTAAAAATCAAGTATACAACAATTAAAAATGACCTTTAGATTATAAGTACTATGATAGTGACAAAATCATTGAATTATTAAACTTAAGTGAACATATGGTTAAGTAAAAGTAAATAAATAAATAAACAAAAAATATATTCTGACTTTAACTAAATAAATAAGGTATTAAATATAATAATAATAATATATTCAAAATGGGACATCCGTATCCTACCTCGTCTAAATATTTTTTGTCCCCTTTCTTAAAATCATGTCTCATTTCTTCTAGGCCGGGACATATCCGTAGAGATGCAGTAAACTTTGACAAGAGATATAAATCATAATTTTTTAACAGTCTTGGTCTCTTGGACTCCGGAGCAGTCTCCCACGGCAGCAGCACTCGGGATATGCATCTCACACCACTCTCCACAATTCCACTCCTCTAGCTGTCGTTTTCATCACGAGGCTCACAAACACGCAAGGCTTATGCTTATCCCGGCCGCGTCCCATTTTGGAAAATCTAAATCACTTTCCTCAGTTAGACTTTGGTATTTTTTTTCTGGAAAAAAGAAACATAAATATGAGTCATTTACTTTTTCTCTCCTCGTCTTACGAAGTCATTTCAGAGAATTATATTTCTAAGATCCTGTTCCGTCACATGACAAGGCAGTTGGAACTTGGAAGGCTAGCCGACGTCAAGGACCGAGAAAGTTAGTTTTTCTTTTGCTATGACTTTTTAAGATAAATATAATATAATAATAATCGAATGTGTTAGCTATTCAAATTAGAAATCATTACAAGTAGAGAGACAATTATAAAAATAAAAAAAAAAGGATTAGAGAGACAAAAAGAAGAAAATCCTTTCTCCCTCCTTTCCAAACGACACATCAGCATGTCTCCTCTTGATGGGAAAGACCACAAATACATCATGTGCGTGTTTTTTACTTTTACGTTGAAAAATTACACTGCTGCTTAGAGATTCTTTTTGGACCAAGCTTTTTAGAAATTTTCTTGCATGACTATCAAATTAAATTAAATTTGAGCGCCATCAAATCTAATTAAAAGTAATTTTTAAAAAAAAAATTCCTACATTTACATCAACTTAAACTTAAAACCTTGCAGGTAAAGGGTCATAGCCCCTTCTAAAGTTCCATTAGGACCAACGCCTCTGGCTAGCTTCTTAGAAATTCTGTTATAACTCAAACTTTTTTTGTATTGAAAATGACAACCTGTTTACTTGATATATATATATATATATATATAATGTAAGCCTTTAGTTAATTTATTTTTGACAAAAAACCCTTTTATACGACAAAACTGTATTTTAGTTTTACAGGAATAAAATAACAACGAATTGACAGGAAACTTTTAAACATTAAACTGTGACAGTCTGACAGATGTCTCAAACACTGTACACAGAGGGCAAAACAATGAACAAGTTGCATTACATTTGTCAAGAGCTATACATTTTACTATATTTTATATTGATTTATTTTTCTCAAAACTAACCAAATTCAAACGAGAAGGAAGCCGTGCCTTAATATAGAATGTACCAAAGTCCACCGAAATGATGAGTGATTCAGACTTGTTCCAGATAATTTGTGACCACACGCCATCCTCCAAATGAAATAGCAGTGAGAGACAATCCGACCAATCAGGTTTATTTTGATTTGCCGCTTGATCTCATGGTTCTGTCCATTTCAGACATACCAGAAATACCACTAATCTACAACGTATTATTTTCCAGCACTCACTGATTTCCAGAAACGATAACAATACGTAGGCCTAATTAAGAATGTTCACCCATCAGCTTCTGGAGCAGTCACAACAGAAAAGCAATAGATCTGAAATCCAGATTTTATCAAATTTGTTTCTCTCAGAGCTACAAAACGCTCAACAAAGATAGTCTACAACAATAAGCAAAATACAACATAGAGCAGCATCCAGAATGCCAAGAGAACTCAAAAACTTGAAGCTACTATAATTAGACATTACAGTACCTAAGTAGATTGATAATCAAGAGCAAAATTGGAATGTCTAATCAATGTTTTGGAGCCTTGCTCAGCAAATACTTCTTCAATACATCCATGACTGACCCATAGTCTGCCTTCACTTGCACTGGTGGATTAGCAAATCGGCAAGCCATGTCCTTAATGGATTTGGAATGATAATCAATTTTTGACTGGGTAAACTTCAATCCATGAGCAGTGCTCACAACAACAGTCCGATCTGTAGGCTTTATGACCCCACTGTTTCTCAGTTTAAACAGTGCACTTAAAGCAACCCCAGTATGGGGGCAGATGAACATGCCAGTGGAGTCTGCTTGAGCCATGGCATCCATTAATTCTTCCTCAGTTGCTTCCTCAACAATCCCATCTGAATTCTTCAAAGCAAAAACAGCTCTGTCTATTGAGACAGGATCACCAATTTGTATGGCAGATGCAAAGGTACTGCTAGCTCTTATGGGTTTAAATTCTTTCCAACCAGACTTGAAGTACAAATACAGGGGATTCGCATTTGCTGCTTGAGCACAAACAAGCCTTGGAATCCTATCAACAAGTCCCAAGTCCTTACACATTCGAAAACCCTTGTAAAATGCATATATATTTCCCAGATTTCCCCCTGGTACTATGACCCAATCAGGGACTTCCCAATCAAACTGCTGCAAAATCTCAATAGCTGCAGTCTTCTGCCCCTCTAGTCTTAGGCTGTTCAAAGAATTAGCCAAATATATAGGCAACTCGGCTGTGACTTCCCGAATCAACTGCATGCATCCGTCAAAATCAGTATCAATGCTCAACACAAACGCACCATTTGCAATTGGCTGGACCAATTGAGCAATAGAAATCCGATTTGCAGGCAAGAACACAATTGATGGGATTCCCGCAGAAGCACAATAAGCAGACAAAGCAGCGGAAGTGTCACCTGTAGAAGCACAACCAACACCCACAACAGGTCGATTCATTTTTCGCAATCTATTGACCTGGCTCACCAATACAGTCATGCCCAGATCTTTGAAGCTACCAGTATGACTAATCCCACAGTGCTTCACCCACAAATCGTTCATGCCCAGAAACTGTTTGCCAAAACGCTCAGCCCAGAACAGATTTGAATTCCCTTCAAACGCACTCACAATATCGTCACTATCGATCTCAGGTAACACCCATTCCTTCTTGCTCCAGACGCCCGACCCATAAGGCCACGTGGTCTTACCCACCCGAGAATCAAAAAGGTTGCGCCAATACTCACCGTCATATTTCTTCAAAGCTTCCATATCGTGCTGGACGTCGAGAAGCCCACCAGACTGGGACCGATACACGATCTCGTCGAGAGAGTAGAACTCGGTGGACGAAGGGTCCGCCTTAAAAGGAACATACTTGGCGGAAAATCGATGGTGGCCGGCAACATTGATGCGGCGAGCCTCGTCGCGAATGTTCTCGTCGGCGGGGCGACGCGGTTTCGAAGCAGAGGACACAGAGTTGTTCTGGGTAATTGGCGATCCGGGTTGAGATTGAGCTTTGATGCTGAGATGATTAGGTAAGGCGTTGTATTTGGGTGGTGGGTATGGAACGGAGGGTTTGCATTTGAAGGTGAAAGGAGAACCCTGAAACAGAGAAGAGGAAGCCATGAGGGAGATACAGTGGGCTCGAGAATGAGTCACTTTCGTATTGGCTGTTTAGCAAAGAAACGCGCAGACGATGAAAAATGCGAGAGGCACCTTTAAAAGGCAGATTGGCAAACAACCGCCGAAGCATGATAAATGGACAAACTTTATACGCTAGCATTACTTGCTCTGCTTTTGTTATGTTATTATAAACCAAACCAAAAGCACCAATAATAAACTAATTAATAAATGCTAGTTCAAATTTGGGTGACTATATTTGGGAGAGTTATTTTTAATTCCACTTGATAATGGTCAAAATTTAATCTAATTGAACATTATATAAAAAAATAAAAAATAAACCCAGCCAAAAAAAAGAGTGAATGAAACAAAAAGGTTAACTTTAAATAAATTTGACTTAATTTCAAACAAAAACAAAAGAAAATACATTTTTAAATACATGTTTAAATTGTAATATTAAAATTTAATATAGGGTTAAAGGGTAAAAATACTTTAAAAAATTTTTTATTATGAGCATCTAGCATTTTAAAATTTTTTTAAAGCCATATCACCTCAAAACTTAAAAAAAAAAAAAAGAGTAATACCGCTCTCACTATTAATTTAAATTAACTTTTGATAGTTAAGTCCCTTTTTTTGACCAAACTACCTTAGATGTGTCACCATTCATCTCCCTCCTCTCTTTCCTCATCTTTGACCACAATTAGATCATTCTTCTCCCTTCTCTGTTGAAGAGTGCCTTCACCAAAATGTTCACCACCTCTAACCAACTCTTGATTTTCAACTTGAGAGCTTCCCAATTCATCTTATAAATTAAATCACTTGTAAAGAGCATCAAACCACAGTTTTATCCCTAACTAGAAAATTTAAAAATTCATATAAATTAAAAAATTTACAATAAACACCTTTCTACAATCCGAAATCATGAATACAAGTCATAAGATGGTGATTCGTTAACTTGATTATCATATGAATCTTAGTTGGCACAAACCATGCTACATCTGATGGAATCATGGATGGTTGAACTGGCACTAGTTGTAGCATGTCTTCTTGCTTGTTTTCATGCTTGTCTAGTGTTGATTTAGCCATATTTGATGCCGATTGATTATGTAGATGTCGATTTCTCTTTCCTATCACCCTTGTGCCAATTAAAACCATACTAGGGTCACTCGAGACTGTATTTACCAAACACCATTTTAATCAATCTTTCAACAATGAGTTGAAGAGCCAACTTTAAAAAAATAATTAGAATAAAAGCCTAGAAAAATGTAAAGAAACCATGAAAATGGGAATCATAAGTGAAGATCGAGAAATTTGAGAGTGAAGACACGTGGATTAATGCCATCCGCCAATCTCTTTCTATAATTTGCCAGGAGCACTGACAAGAAGTAGGTGGAATGTGGCAAATGCTATAATATCCCAATTTCAATTTTTTAGAACCAATTAGAATTTATAGAAATTTGAAAGAAAATTTGAGGGAAATTAAATTAAGTAAGAGATAATTATTGGGCTTAACTTAGGATATAATTTTAAATTAACATAAAAAAGGAAAATAATAATAATAAATGTTAAAAAAGCAACATGATGATGAGAGTAGATGGAAAAAAAAAAGAGGAGGAAGAATTTAGACCTTATTTAGTATAATGAAAGAGTTTTTGATAGAGTTGGAATTGGAATTGAAATCCAAATAGAATTAGGTTTTAAAAATATGTTTAGTTTGAAGATAGAATCCTGATATAATTTTAATAAATATATTTACATAAAATAGAAAAAGATCAAAGTACCCATTTCACCCCTTTTTATTTTAAAAAATAAAAGGAAAAAGGAAAAAAACCTCTCTGCAACTGCAACCCACCATTACACCCCTCATCATCGCTACTGTTTATTGCTTCACTACTTTCAGCTAAATACCCACAAATAAAACATCATCTTATAATCACCAAAGTACAAACAAAATGAATCCAAAAAAAGAGAAACAAATACATAGAAAATGGAGTCTTACAAAGTGAATATTGGTGAGGAAGGAGATGAATACCAATGAAGATATGAGTAGAGGAGATTGAAGAACCAATCATCATGAGATTGAAGATGAATATGAGATGCAAGATCTAAAAACAATGTCAAACAATAGAGGAAATGACATGGTGATCTGTGTAGTCGAAGGTTATGGGGAGGGGAAATGGCACAGAAACCGAATAGAAAGTGAAAACTCATATTTTTATTTTCAAGTCTGAGCTCTCTACACAGCCACAAGGGCCCTATTTATAGTTCTGGGATCGTGAAACTGAAGCTTACAAATTAAAAGGGAGGTTACAAGAATTAAAGGGAGGTTACAAAGAGTTTATTATGCTCCATTTGTAGTGTTGTAAGTAGCACATGGCGACGACTAAGGGCATCAGCTACGGAGTTCAGAGTTCCAGCCTTATGTTTAATAAGAAATGGATAAGACTATAAGAGTTCACTCCAACGAGCATGTCTGCGACTGATCTTCTGTTGGGAATTCAAATACTTAAGAGCTTCATGATCAGAAAAAGTATGAACTCTTTATTCAAGAGATAATGACTCCAATGTTGGAGAGCTCGGATGATGGCATAGAATTCCTTGTCATAGGTAGAATATCTAAGCTTGGCATCATTAAGCTTCTCAACTAAAAAGGCAATGGGATGACATCATCTAAGGTCCAAAATTGCTGAGGCTGGACTGGACGACTGATATCTATGTTTAAGCCTGCAAGGTACCGGGCGATTGTTTGCTCCTCCTTCTCTTGAATGTCACACTTCATCATGAGTTGTTCAAACTCCCTAGTATATTCTTCTACAGATAAAGATCTCTGTCGAAGATTTTGCAGCTGGATAAAATTATCCTGGTGGTAATGATTTGGTAGAAATTTCCTAGTGAGCTGGCATTTCATTTTCTCCCAGGTCTCAATCTTGCACTTTTCCTCACATTCCAGCTTCCATCTGAGACTTTTTTCGCATCTGGAATCTCCTTGTATTCAAATACTCATTCAACAGTTTGCAGCCAATCTACAAACTTGTCTGGCTGGAGTCTTCCCTCGAATTCAGGAATGTATACCTTGATATCATTAGGGCAGAATTGTTGTTGTCGTGGACGGCGGCGGTTGTCGGTTGATGACGAATTGCTGCTTCCCGAATCTCCCTCTAAGTTTTCTCTGTTATTGTTTAACAGAGTTCACAGCAATTCCACAGTGGCTTCTAACTCTTGTATCCTACGTCTCATCTCTTCCATCTCAACCTCGTGCACATGTATACGTCTTGGAGGCATTTTGGATAGGTGTCAAGGCTAGGGATATAAGAAAGACTAGAGTGCAGATGGAAACATTGAAAGGATATAAGGATAGAATGGGATTTTTAGAAAGGCTAGGGGCAAAATGGGAATTTTAGACAGTTTAGGGGTAAAACGGAGATTCTAAAAAATGAGGGGTCAAACTGCAATTTATGAAAAATATAAGGGTCAAAATGGAATTTAGGTGAAATATAGGGGCAAAAGTGTAATTTTAAGAAAGCTTAGAGGTCAAAATGGAATTTTGAAAAATATTTAAGGCAAAAATATAATTTTTAAAAATATGGTTACTTAGGTTAGTGACGTGGCGACAATGATACGTGGCAGAGAACTATTGGGCTGACCTGTCGTTAACCGGTTAGAGTGATGACATGGCAGATGATGTCAGTATCTTCCACCTTCGGCTGGCGCGTGTCGGCATGTGGAACGGCAGCGAGGCACGTGGACTTTCGACGGCGGCGTGTGTGTTGGTTTTTGGTGACGGGGAACCTCCTGTTTCACGTTTTTGGACCTCCTGAGCACGATGGTGATGTTAGTTTTTTGAGAAAATGCATGGATTTCAAAACACGAAGACATCAGGGACTCCTCCACTGAATCTCTCTCTTCTCCGGTGTACTTTCTCAACTGTAACTCACTCTCTCGCTCTCTGGACCTTGCTTTGATACCAAAATGGCACAGAAACCAAGTAGAAAGTGAAAACTCTAATTTTTATTTTCAAGTTTGAGCTCTCTACACAGCCACAATGGCCCTATTTATAGTTTTAGGGTCGTGAAACTGAAGCTTATAAATTAAAAGGGAGGTTACAGGAATTAAGGGGAGGTTACAGGAACTAAGGGGAGGTTACAAAGAGTTTATTGTGCTCCATTATGTGACTTTCGTTTCTGCTCTTTTATTTTTCCGTTTCAAGAAATGGTGTTGATGGAGGCAAATATCATAAACCAAGGTTAGTGGTGGAGGAGATCAAAGATAGTGGTAACCAGAGTGAGGATAAAGTGGCAAATAGGTGGAACATAATCAAATTCTTTAGGTATCATGATAGAATTTGATTCTGACTAATTTGCTGGAATTGGGATTCTTGAGAATATAAATTCAGTTGTACCAAATATACTTGTGTATGGAATCCTCTTTCAATTCCACTTCAATCTCTAAGATTCTTGTATACCAAATATGGCCTTAAGAAGTTGCAGATGGGGAAGCATATCAAAATGTTTTTTAAACAAATTATTATGATAAGGGGAATATGACATAGGGCTAACAATTAATTAATCAAAACCCCTATCCCATTTTCTTCTTCATTTCATGTTCTTCAGTTGTGCTAGACGTGAGAGAGATAGAAAGAAGGAAGGAGAGAACATAGTAGTCGACGGTTTGTGTGTTTAAGGAGATTTTAAGGTAGGATTTCATATTGAAAACCACTTCCATTGTCAAAACTCCCTTATAAATATTTTCCTACTCATCTAGAACTTTTTAATGAAAGTAATATTTTGAACTATAGATTAAATTTTATGATTAGGGCTTGGAATAAGTATTGAGTTTTAATAAACGAGACCTATAGGATAGTAGAGATAAAACTGATTAAATTGTGTTTTTAGGATTTAGATAAGCTAATCTAACTTATTTTTGGGTTTTAATCAGAGAGATTTGGATTGTAATGGTATGATTATAAATTTAAAGATTTTAGAGATTAATTTTTAAAGTCTATAAAGGGTGATTAAATGTTAAAATTTCTTATGGAATGTTTACATTGTTGATAGAGATTGAAAATTTTGATTTGGGAGAGTTGGAGATTTGGAGGTTGGAGTTAGAAGCATGGTTTA